TCTTATGATCTGAATATTTTAACCACGTGTTAATCAGCAAGCTCCACCATATTGTTGTTAACCCTTTCTCTGATCGCATTAATGAAACCTTTTGTAATAATTATATAACAAAGACTTGTGCATTATACATGCCCTGTACTTTAGGTATGATTACAACGCCATAAAAACCTCCACGATATTCTGTGTGTTTTTATATGATTAGCTGGTTTAACTGAAGACATGTAGTTATTAAATCCTAAAGTCAGCATGTGCCATTCACTTCTACATTAACAGATGTTACAAATTTAAAAACAAATAAATGAAAGCTCCTCAAGTACCTGTGTAATCACTTTAATAGTGGTTACATGCCCAGGTCATTTCTTTACTACAGTTCTAATTAAAAATCTCTGTCTGTATGACATGTTGATGAGCAGGTGCTGCTGGAATCTAAACGATTCCATGTAGATATCATAATGGGCATGACTTATCTGATAATTAAAGAAATTCACAAAGTTAAATTAGTTTGTCTTTTTCACAGAGACATTTGGAGCAAGCATATGATGAAGTATACTGATTACAACATAATATTTTTGAGGTAGAATATAATAAGTAGAAACCTATTAAAAAATACCTGTAAAGCAATGCATATGTTTTGTGTCACTTTAGTTGTTGCCCTGTTTAACAAACACTTTGTTGAATTAGTAATAAAAATGAGGTTGTTTTGATAACTTTAATATTGATATAATGTTAGCTCTTAATTACTTAAAATGCTACAAAAAATTATAAGAAAGTAATGATAATGTTTTTATGTCAACCAGGAAACTTGAAAAAAAACTTTTCTGGCTTGAGTTTCCGATGCACCTAAAGGCACCGTGGCTTCTCTACTGGGTCCACACATGCCTCTTTTCCAATAGTTCCTAGTCAAGTCGACTCGATTCTTAACTCATTACAGTCGAGTACCAACTCAGTGTACTTAGGGCCGTTACAGTAACACGGAGAAAAGTCCCATGACATAATTCGTATACATCAAAAACAACAGAACAATGGAGAACACTGAGACAATGGTACTTGCTGCTGAACTGAGGGTAAGCATCTGCACCTCATTTCTGGACCACAGTGTTCGCATGGACTAGGTAAAAAATTAACTACCTGGTACCAGCTAATCCACCTGATGGAAAATGCTGAAGGTTGAATCGAGCTGAGCCAAGTAGGTGGTAGTGGAAGGGGCTAATATTGGTCAGCAACAGCAATCTATTGTCAAGAGTAGATGCTGTAGCCGCAGGCGAGGGGAGGAAGATCTTTTCAAGCAGGATTTGTAGAAAGGATTTTGACAGTCACACAAAGATGGACAGCTTTTGTTCTGAGGGTTTGGAAAGAGTTTGTCTCTGTCAGTGTCTCCATTCACTTTGTTCCTCTAATAGAAAATCAATGTGCAGATGTTTATTCATGCACTGACTGCTTCTATTCATCCTGCAGATGCTGGAACAAATTAATGGTCCAAAAGTTGCTTTGCTCAGGTCTTTGTTTGCTCTGCTTCTTTTTTTTTCTTCCAGGGATCAAATACAGACATTCACAGAATAAACGTTGTTTTTATTCAAAAATACATATTTTAGTGCACATTAGAATGAGAGTTTTAGATGCCTACCCTAGCATAATAGGCCAGAACTAGTCATATCCCACAAAAGTGTATAAATCCAAATCCATCCTTTGAGATATGAGTTTAAGGCCCTGTCATAGTAAAAAGGCTGCTTAGAACCAATGTCACAGTTACTCCTGAAGTGTTTCTTAATAAGAGAGTTACCCCACTTTGCAGTACAACAATTTCTACAAAGAGTCACAGAGCAAAATTTGTACTTTTAACATATGAGACACTTTGACTCTTCAGTGCAGTGTGGAGCCTAACAAAGATCTGTTTTGTGTCCCAGCTGATCAGCAGGAGGAGAAGAGTCTGACGGAGCAGCAGAGGAACATTTTCAGCCATCTGGACTCAGCTGAGTCACTACAGAGGAAACAATGAGCTCAACACAGAAGGTGAGGAAAATATTGCTGTTACATTTTTTTTTAAAACTGATGTTAAAAGACAAAATAAAAGGTCACATTTTAACAGGACACTGAAACAAAGACTTTAAAAATCAAGATTAAAATTAAAACCACACATTTTCATAAATTGAATAATTTTTTTCTGTGAGCAGTATTCAGGACATTTCGTTTTGATAACAAGAACTGAGAGAGTTCTGAAGGCAGGAGGAATCTAACCCTGTATTATCAACGTATACCCAAGAAAGTGTAATTCCTTATCAGGATGTTCAAATAATGCTTTGAAATTATGTTAAGAGCCAGATAAAGTAATTACATCATGAACTGTCACGCTGTGCTAATAAATGTTACAAACAAATAAAAGAAAACATGGAAAAGTATAGACCTGCTACATATTTAGTGCCATTCTGAGTTAACATTAACATTTGTGTATAAGGACTCATTGAGTTACTTAAAACTCTTACTTAAAAATCAAATGGCTTATTGCCTATTTTTGGTCTAAGATATATATTTTAAATTTTTTGAGCAATATAAAAGATGGACTAATCCATTGATATGCAACCCTTTGAATTTGACCTCACAAGGCACATTTCACTCATTGCCTCTGTTTGTATCTCTGTCATTGCAGGACCAACATGGAGCAGAAGGTCCGAGCACTCAGGAGGCCGACAAACCTCACAGAAGAAAGGGAGAGAAAAAATACACCTGTGACGAGTGTGGGAAGGCTTTTACTCGGCCTGGAAACTTAAAAACACACCAACTCATCCACAGTGGTGTTAAAGCATTCAATTGTGACTTGTGTGGAAAGGCTTTTACTCAAAAGAGTGCCCTAAAAACTCATCAAAGCCTCCACAATGGAATTAAAGCACACACCTGTGATCAGTGTGGGAAAAGTTTCACATGGAAACAAGGCTTAGAAAGGCATAAGCTCATCCACAGTGGAGTTAAAGCATACACTTGTGATCAGTGTGATAAAAGTTTTACTCAAGGTAGCCACTTAAGGATTCATCAAGTTTCCCACTCAGGAATTAAAGCATACAGCTGTGACATCTGTGGGAGAACCTTCAGCCATATAGAGAATCGAAACAAACACCAGCGGATTCACACTGGACAGGATGTGTACTGCTGTGATCAGTGTGGCAAACGATTTGTAGCATACAAACATTTACAAATCCACAAATTTACTCACACCGATGAGAGACCCTATAAGTGTGACTTGTGTGATAAAGCTTTTAACGCTCCATATTCCCTGAAAGCACACCAACAGATCCACACCAGAAAGAGACTCTTCAAGTGCAGTTACTGTGAGGTATGTATTTGTATTCTCCTTTCGATGCGACAGAGTATCTAATCAATTCAGCTTATTTGTTTGTCTGTTTGTCACCAATGTATCATCCACAGTTTTCATGATGTCGCTTTCAAAGTTTGTGTGATGGTAGACACTGATAACTGCTTGAAAAGGTTTAGTTTTGTAAAAATTGGGTCATGGTCACAACGAACATGAAAACCAGTGAAAACTTTAAATTGTGCACAATTTGTATTATCCACAATACTAGGCCTTGGAGGACATGAGCATCTAGGTTGGCTAAGCATTTGAACTTGACCTTCATTCTTTGTGCCCAGGGTTAAAGTTTCAAGAAACCCAAGTTTTGAGACGTGAGAGATTTGTGATGTTTAGCGTGTTTGGAGCGTGTAGTTAATGTGTTGTCTTGTGTAGTTAGTGTGTAGTGTTGTGGATAGTTTTGTGTTGTGTGTCAGAACAATGAGGCGACTGCTGTCTCCAGGTAAAAACAGGAGTGATACACATGCTGCTGTCAGACCTGCAGGTATCAGGTATTCTCCTTTATAGTGGACAGAAATTTTTGGAGTGGCACAAATAATTTGTGTGGCATCTTATTGAATGCAGAACAGCTGATTGTTCTGTAAATAGTTTGAAATGGTTAATTAAAAAATCAAGGTAAAAGGTAAATGGATGCAAATAACTTTGTTGTTGGCAAAACTTGTGCATAGGATTGTAAAACTGACAATTTATATTTGCATTTAAAGTTATGAAATATGATTCATTAAACATGTTTGTGGTTGTTACAGTAAAAACAAATCACTTTTTCTACTCTGATTTTATATTTTTTGTCTGATTTTAGACCAATTGTGTTAATACAGTATGTCAAAATGAAAACATAACTGTAAATTCAGACACGTGAGGTTGTGCTAATGATACCAAACAAGGCAAAGTTTTTAAAGGTGAAATATGGAGGTAAAATCAAAAGGTAGTAAAAATGGCCAATTATACCCTGGACCCCAGAGGGTTAAACATTTTTTTGTTTGTTTGTTTAAGTAACGCAATAGTTACTTTTTCAAGTAATTAATTACTTTTAGAATATTGTAACTCAGTTACTTTTTTGAAGAAGTAACTAGTAGCTATAATTAATTACTTTTTCAAAGTAATTTGCCCAACACTGGTCATCTGCCAACTTTAAAGCACTATATTAGTCTTCATTCTGTATTTAGTGAGTCAAACAAAATTCTGTTCTGGATACAAATTTGGGGTAACATTAAGTTAAGCATGTGTGCATCTTGAATATGACGTGCTTATACTTTTTTGTATAATTTTAGTTATAGTAGTTCAGTAAGGTAAGTGCTATGATGCAAACAAACAGTAAAATGTAATTGGACGTCTGCAGAGATGCTCTTTATTTCAGGCGATGTTCAGGATAAAAATGTTGAAGTGACTGACTGACACTGTCTTTGTGTCTTTGTTTAGAAGCAGAGCGACACAGATGGATGCAGTTCTCAACTCTGTCGTTGCTGTAGTGGTGGGAAAGAATTTTTTTGTGACTTTTGTGGAAAAATGTTCAGTCAGCAAACAAGCCTCAAAACACACCAGCGAAGACACACTAGACACAAACTGAACTACTGCAACAAATGTGGGAAAGGCTTCCCCACTCCAAGTACATTGAAACGCCATGAACTCATTCACAGTGGGGTTAAAAAGCACCTCTGTGATCAGTGTGGGTCATCGTTCATCAGTACAAGTCAGCTTAAAAGGCACAAGCGAGTCCACACAGGAGAGAAACCATACAAGTGCAGACACTGTGACAAAAGCTTCTCACATTCAGGTAATCGTAACCTTCATGAAGCTACACATTAAAAAAAGAACTATAGCTGTGACCAGTGTGACAAGAGCTTCAGGAATCTCATGTGGCAAATGAACGGTTTTACTGTTACCAGTGTGCTAAAACATTCACTTCATATTCTGCTCTCGGCAAACATCTGCAGGATCATGAAGGGCTGAAATCATTCCCATCACTGGATCACAGAGAATCAGAAGAGAGAGAAAGAACAGAGACTGAAAACCCTTTAGATCAGGCTCCACAGAGTTTAGATAGAATCTCCTCCTCCCCCTTTTGTGAGTGTGAACGCTTCCTCTCTTTGCTCTTTAAATGCTTTGTTTCTTTTATTGATTTTTTAAATTTTTTTTATTGATTTTTATGCTGATTTTTCTCTTTTTTTCGTATGAGCTTACCTGCGATAGCTTCTGGAAACTTATAGATCATTAGGACTAAAGCGTTCTTAACAGAAACAGCAACATTTTTATAGTTACCGTATCTTCAGCGCTCCATGTGTCTGTGGCCTAGACACAGCTGAAGCCTGATTACAGCGTCTGGGCACCGTACAGCCTCAATAACCTGGAAAGGTGCTAACCGCTAGGCTAACTAGCAACAAGATGCCTTCCCTCTCCACAGATGACTACCACAGCCTCCTGCAGAAGATTCATCGCTTAGAAGTAAACGTGGAGGCAAATGGACTGTGTGGAAATGAAACAACCTTGCCTTTGATTCAAAACAATAGCGATGACAAGCTAGTACACAGCTTAAGAGCACAGATAACATGACCAAGAAAGTAGACTCTGTGCATTATAATAAATCCTCAAGTGATAATCCCCCCCCTTATGCGCGTCTTGAAACCAAGACATAAATCATGTCTCAAGAAAGGGGGAGGACGTATCACAGGCAGGGCACAGCGAGCTGAAATCTCTGAAACCGACTGGCCTTCACTTCCTACAACACAGAGAAGCTCTTCTACCCCTGTATACGGGAGGAAACAAGACTGGACAACCGTGAATAGGAAGGTTAACAACAAACCTCCAAAACAACTGAATGTGAAACTGCAGAACAGATTTGCTCCACTATCAAAGGACCCTGGATCTATATCGGACAACCATCCATCTAAAAGTAGCGAAGTAAGGTCTGAAAATCTGTTGAAAAGTAAAAGGCCACAGGGAAAGCTAAAGGCTAGGCCTGAAACTCTGATTGTGGGTGACTCTGCTGTAAAGGATGTACAAAGCACGTGCAGTAAGAACTCTTAAGTCCTCTGCTTTCCTAAGGATATGGTCAACAACCTGAAGGAGAGAATTCTTCAAATTGCAGTTGAATATCCAACTGTGACAAACATTGTTCTGATGAGCTGATGAGGCAGCTATGAATGAAAATGTTCTGCTTGTCACATTTCAAGCTTTCTAAACGTTCTGCTTCAATGTTCATGTCGAGTGGTTCGCTTTGTTCTAGCAGTTGAATGAAGAAATCTGTTGTCGTGTTATCAAGTTTTTATTGAATGTATTTAAAAACGTGTTCTGCAGATGTTTTCTTGTTAAGGTTGTTGGTGTTGTGAAATTCTGCAACGATTAAATAAAAGTTTAAAATGTTAAATTAAGAAATAGTTTGAGCCTTGATTTCACTTCCTGTATTTCAGAGTA